CAAATGGTATTATAGGAGATTGTATTTCATAGTGCTGTTTAGGAACGGTAAGCTTTCGGATTTTGCCTCGAATGGTACACCATGGTAAACCTGATCGAACGCCATGATTTTTTCACAGATCTACGTGTCCCAGTGTCTAGTTTCAGAAACTGAAAACCGCAAGCCTGTAGCATTCACCGTTAAAAAGTTATAAGCGAAATATCGGAGTCCGTTATATTTTGATACAGATAGTAATTGACTGATTGATATTCTTAGTTCAGCAAAAGGACTTCCTAAGTAATATCTAACCGTGTAAAAAGAAAATTTATTGTGTGATGTCTTTTTGCATTTCACATTATCGAGCTAAATTTTGTAGTAAGACAAGAAGAGAAGATCATGTTTGTGTTCAACTGTTTCTCATTGATTCTTTTCATTTTCTTCTGTCAAGAGTTTTTGATAATCACGCAGTATCATTAGTTGACGAAGGGTTGTCGGAGCTAATGAAGCTCGTTGTTTTCGTTGAACGTACCCAGCGATACTGAACGCCGACTCACTGGCGACTGAAGTTGCAGCAATAATATTATATCTTCGTACTATCGTTGTTAATCTACGCAGACAATGATGGTTTTTTCTCCAGAACTCTTCAAATTGTGTGACATGATTAACAGAAGACACATACAGAGCAATTTCTTCTTTAACTGTCATTGCTTCTTCTTCCGTTCCTGTATTGATTCTTGTTACTGCTGGTGATTCAGCGTTACAATCAATAAATAATTGTTCCAATCCTGTCTTTTTTTGTTCTTGTTGTTTTTCTTGTGGTGATGTTTGAGCAACAGTTGATAGTGGTCTTAAGGAACCGATAATCTCCAATTCTTCGATAATTAAACGCTCAGCTTCCGTTCGACTGCATCATCCAAATGCGAATATCCGATGCCAGGCCTAAATGATCAAATGTGAGAGCCTCGCTTGACTCACATTTCAAAGAGAACATTTTGGACTACCTACTCATGAAAAAACTAGTATGTTTCTACTGCAAATTCTTGAACCATGAACAGATTTTCCAAAGATCCTTTCGAAATCCTATGTTAAGGAAGGATTTTCAAACTTACTTTCTCATCAAAAGATGGAACAGAGTCTTGGCTTTCGGTTGATGAAGACTGCAGGCCTATGTCACTTCCCTGTCAAATGTAAAGGAAAATAGTATTTATTGATTATAAATTAATAACTGAAAATTTTTTTATTAATTTTTATATCAGACAGCTTTTATGAAGACAAATTATGAGAGATGGACTGAAACATCTCGAAAGCGCAAAAAATGCAAAATTCATAATTTTTGATGGCTGTGTTTCTATCATCTTCTTCTACTTCTTATACATACCAATGTGGCTCGTTTTTGTTCAACTGTAATTTTTGTCTCAAAATATAAAAGATATTTCTTCAACAGAAAACTTTTCATTGTTTGCTCCAAGGTTGGTGGAGTAGCAGAGGCTAAGAGCATCTTTATATATATAAGGAATATATGTAAGGCTGTATTGCTAATGGCTAAAATGGCAAAAGAATGTTTAGATCTCGTGTCAGCTCCTCTTAAAAAGATTGTCTTAGAAATGAACTACTTACCTAACGTCTGATAATTGCGAGCAGATAACAATTCGGTTACTCTATAAAATGGAAACAGCACATTTTTGAGCGCTAATAGACAATCCCAATCTGTATGAGAATATGACAACTTCTTGAGCTTTTCTCGTTGAGTTGAATCGAGACCGACGACGAGTGTTGGATTATGGGTGACGACGTTGACTATTTCACGATAGACAATAAAACGATCGAGCATCACATACGTGGAATTCCATCTAATATGAAGATCGATGATTAGATCAGTGAATTTTGATTTTCTCTCTGTTGATGTTGTGGCTGTTGAGCTTGAAGTAGTCTGTTGCTTTTGATTATCGACCGTCATTTCATGTTCAATTTGTTTTCTTTTAGCTTCTTGACGAACATAAGCATCGAGAATATTTGATTTTCGAATAAGTTTGATCAACGAGCGAGTTTGTCTGAGCAAAATGAATACTTTTTCAACTACTCTATTTGGTTTTGATAATAAAATTGTCATTTCCTCTCGTTCTTCTGAGTCATCATCAAGATCTGTTCCAGACGCTGCTTGCCGTTTCTGCTGCTGTTCGTCCTCGTCTTCACCACTACTGTCTGCCGGTTCTTCTTCATGTCTCAACGAAATCGGCTCTGACTTATCTACTACATATTCAATTGAACAACTGCTTTCTTGATCATCTATACTGTCGTCATCTCCAATTTCAGCTTCATCAATCAGCGAGGCTTCATCATCATCTTTACTAATTATATCCATTGCTATCGTTGATGCAGCAGCAACTTTCGGTTGAGCACTAAAAGAAGTCAAAAACCTTTAAGTTTAGCATATTTTACCATTCGTGAAAAATTCCGTATATTTAGGCTTAAAAGAGCATGTAAAATCAAATCTGTCGAAATTTTGTGAAAAACATTTTTAGGGACTTTTAAATAGTAAAGTATCAAAATACCTTACTAGACGAGTAAAAATATGGGTTTTTCTAAGTAGAGATATTTGAAAAAGTCATCGCTGATGACAAGATCTGCCAAATGTATGATTTACATAAGAAAGCCTGTTTACTCGAGAATAAAATAAAAAAAGTCTTACTCACCCTTCATTGTCTTTCAACTTTTTCCATAAACCCAAACCATTTGATACTGTTAAGTTTAAATTATGAGCCAGACATGAAATTCGAATGCCAAATTCAGTATTCGATGTAGCAGCTTTAATGTCAGAGCCATTATCTGTTGTTATCGAACGGATTTTTGACCGAATTCTCAATTGTTCTAATTCATATCGAATGTATTCATATAATCTTGTTGAAATTTTACGACCTTGGAGACGACGAAATCCAATAACTAAGGAAATGTATTGAAAACTGCTGTTATAATAGTGAGCAGTCAGGCAAATAAAATAAGTTCTTCTTGAATTCTTCCATATATCAGATGTCAATGCAATATCATTTACTGTTGAAAATATTCTTCTCAGACGATCTCTATGTTCATAATAGAGTTTTTCCAAATTTTTTGACACCGTTTTCCGATGTGGCCCTTTATATCCCGGAGTAGCCACGCTCAAGAACAACTGCATTCCCGATCGCCTGAAATCTCCAAATGAACGCGAGTCATCAATGATACATTCAATTGCAGCTTCGTCCAATTCTTTTTTTCGCTCTACTGTCATTGCATTTGATTTGGGGGAGTACATGTGTAACGGCACGAAAAAGTGAAGAAAGAAGTTAGCGCCATGACTTTGGATAGTAACAAAAAAATATTCAAATGTAATCAGTTTCTGCCTTTTATTTAGTAAATTCAGTTCAATCTTTCTTTCTCATTTCATCCTCATTTCATTCATTCATCACTTCATACATAACGTTCCGTTACAATTTGGTGGAGATGCCGAGTACTGTCTAATCCATATCCGCATCAATCATTCATCATCATCATCATCATCATCATCATCATCATCATTCGTTCATTCAGTGACTCATTCATTCGTCATTATTTGTTCATAAACATGCAACACCTACGGCGTTCATCAGCATCCTCATTCGTGCCAGATCATTCAATTCCTCTCAGCATCATCAGTGGTGACTCGAAAGACTCTGAGTACGAAGCCTTCATGTCAATTATTAAACAACAGCGAGAAATAATCCAGCATAATCAGAATCAGATCGATAGCTTCCAACGACAGGTGACTGAAATGCGTTTATTCATGCGAGTCGGTTCATCAGCAGCAGCCGTGGAGCGTCCCGTTGACTCACCATTACCACCGTTAATCAGTTCAGTCCTAAATGTCACAACAATAACATCACCGATAACTGAAGCTGGCTCAACAATTGCGAGATATTTAAAGCCAGCTGATTTTCCTACATTCACTGGGAAAGTAAGCGAAGATATCGATGAATGGATCGCACAAGTATCCGCCATAAAAGAGTACAGTGTCACGAACGATTCCGAAATCCTCACAGTCCTTCCACTGGTCCTGCGAGATGCTGCATTAAGATGGTTTACAAATTTAGGCGAGACAAGACGCACTACTCTTAGAACATGGGGAATTTGGCAGCACGCCTTATAACAAGCGTTTCGGCCGCCAAATTATCAAACAAAAACACTTCGAAAGCTAAAATATCGGATGCTCACTGCCGAAGAATCGGTGACGGACTATTTCTACGACAAATGACGTCTTCTGCCAGCGGTATTTGGCGATAATGTCAGCGATCATACGATGGTATCTGATATAGTCGATGGTCTACCGAATGTTCTTAAAATGTTTGTTCTTACTCGCGTCACACCAAAAACAAGTGTGGAAGAACTTCGTCGTATTCTCATCGACTTCGAGTCGGTTATGAGAGAAAGCGTTGGTGATAATATTCAGGTTGAGAACCAGAAACCAGCACATAAGCTCAAAGAGGAT